GACATCTGAAAATTATACCAAAAGCGTTAACTGATGTGAGCGAAATGTCATTACAAACAACAATATTCGGGTATGGATGTATTTATTTAATTGAAAATGACGCATCGCATTGTGTGCTTACTCTTTTCCTTGCTCTTTAGTCATATATATAACAATCCAATAATCATAGCACCAACAGCATTCCATCGACTAGCACATTGTGACGGCGAATTGGGTACGGCACAAGGTGCAACAAATGCCGAATCAATTTATATATATAATTGGAGTTTATCGACTGTACCAGTAAACGATGTACTCAAGACAAAAGGTGAGCTCAAACATAAAAAATACTACTCATGTAAATGTGACAACAGCTAAAAGACTTATCGAAGAGGGTGGGTGTGGGTGCTCATTCAGAGTGACTTGTATAATAATTTCTTATCTTTCAGATAGATCAAGTATGAATGTTGACGATCGTTGAAGAGTCTAGAATGATTTAGCTTTCAACATCTTTTTTTTTATAGTATCGAATTTTTACTAAATTTCTCTATAAAACTTGTAGTTCCCTTCAGATCACATTGAAAGTTGACTTGTGAGTTTCGGCTTCAAACTTTGCACAAATAATGCTTTTGATTTAACCACTTTTTTGTCAAAGCTTCAGTTTCCTCAGTGATTTTATCGTTGTAAAAGCAAATTGTGTTTCCCGATATTCGTTTCTTATAATAGTTGCAAAGTTTTAAGTCAAAACTCAGCAGTCAATGTTCAACATGAATTCGAGAGAATTATGGAGTTTTGTAGTAAAATTCAACAAAACAATCTATTTTTTTCATAGATCTCACAGTAAAAGATGCTGAATAGGCATAGACAATTACATAAGATATCAAGTTATTAGTTACAGTACTTCTATGTATTGCATCTGGTCTCTTTTCTCTGTCCGCTGTGCTCTCTACCTTCTTACTTTCACAGACATGACAGACAGATAGATTGAATATTCTTGAAGATGAAGAAATATTGTTAATCTACTAAGGTTGCTTAATATTGTTGAATGTGATTTAAGGTCTGGTGAAGAAGAAAAAGCTTTCAGCAAATTTCTGACGGGGCTAAAATATGAAAAGCAATGTATTTGTTTCACTTAACAACGAGAGCTCTTCCAGTACCGACCATACAATCCTTGACAGTACTTTATTTACAATTCAAATATTTTCTCGAGCTTTTGGACACTAGAAAAGCTTTCCTATTCTGTTTGTCATGCATCTTTTGGATCTGACAAAGCGTATCAGATTCGTCTTTGTTGCTCTATATTTCAACATTCATGTGCAATCGTGCTGTCACATTATGATTAGACTATCCATAAAAAACTATGATATCACCTGTTAAAGTAAGCCTATTTGTATTGCTTTTAGTTAAGTAGTTTCGGTTGATTCTTGCTTCAAATGTGTAGATTGATCCATAAGTTACTTCGTTTTATTGCATTAGGTCCTAAATGGTTGCATGTTTATTTATCATCTCCAAAAGCATCACTTGAACAATGCATATTATTAGCTGAGCAACAGTCATTCAGAGCAATCGTTGTTACATGTGATCATCCACATAAACGAGTTCAATCAATTCATAGATCAGCGTTTAATCAAGCAATTGAACGTAAACAAGATAAGACATTGACAGAAATGTCGTACACGCCTAATACCAATGTTGCAACTTTGAATGTTAATAAGAGATTAGATGACCATACACCAAATGAAAAGTTAACATGGAAGGAATTTCAATGGTTAAGAACGTTAACAAAATTGCCCATAATTTGTAAAGGTATTTTATCTGTAGACGATGCAAAATTAGCTTTAGAATATGGTGCCGATGGGATTGTGGTTAGGTAAGTCCAAGTTTAGTTTTAGCCCTACAACTATAATATTATTTCTTTACAGTAATCATGGTGGCCGTCAGGTGGATAGTGGACTATCAGCTATTGAATGTTTGAAAGATATTGTAGAACTTGTTAATGGTCGTTGTGAAGTATTTGTTGATAGTGGCATACGAACTGGAACAGATGTTTTGAAATGTTTAGCTTTGGGTGCTAAAGGTGTTCTTGTTGGCTGTCCTATTTTGTATGGTTTGGCATGCGGAGGTCATAATGGTGTGGAAGCCGTACTTAATTTATTAAAACAGGAATTGATGTATGATATGGCTAGTTGTGGCCTCACAAGAACTGAACAAATCAATGAACGAATACTATACAAATATCGTCAATGAGTGCTTTTCATTTTTCTCTCCAAAATAATAAAATATTAATGCTCTATTGTTGCTACTAGTAAACGGGTAAGCCCCATTAGCCCTAGCTGAACTTAGTGACTAAGACAAAGTAAAAGCTTTCATTTAGTGATAGAATGCCAAGTATTACTTCATCGATTCCCGTTTTGTTCTCCAATTTGCACTTTTATCAATATAACTTAGTACGATATCATCATTTTTTCATTATTCAATATATTGATTACATCCTGATAAAGCTTTTTCTCAGGTTAAATTTTGAGGATCTGCATATGCGCATGTGTGTGGATGTGTTCTGTGGATTATCTTGAATTAGGTCGAAAGTAAAATTGTCGAAAGAAAAAATTGTAAGAACTTCGAAAGGAAAGAGTGTGGATGTGAAAATCTATGAATTTATTTTTTTTCAGGCACACCCACATCATACTAGCTGGAAAGAAGGTGTCCGTATGAATACTTAGATTGAACTTGTGCGAACTCACTTAAATAATTCAATTGAAGCAGTGTTCATCATTTGCTAAGTTCAATAGTTTTATGCATCCTATTCGGTATTTTAAATTTCTTCAATGATTAGTTGAAATCAATTTTGGGTATGGGTGCGAGCAATATCTGTTGTATTTAAACCGGCACCTAAAATCCACATCCCGTATTCTATATATATATATATATATATTTAATCTGCTCATTAGAAGAAAATATTCTTTCATAGAACTTTTTATAGTAACTAGTTAAACAGTTCTGTCTTTTGAATTCTTGTTTCGCTTGATTGAGATCAACTACAATAAAACCACATAGAGATATAGCAATGATAAGTTATTTGAAGCAAAAAATTTCAGGTTTGTATCAGTTAAATAATCCATGTTTATAATGAGACATATTGTCAATATTTGTATTCAAATTATCCTTAGCACAAACATTTTTATTGTTTGTCCAAGCATACACATGTAGAATACTTATAATTCCAATCGAGAGATTTCGGTGAAACGAAAAAGTCAAATGTAAATGTTGTTAAATGGGTCGAATAACATTGTGTTTGATGCTGATTGGTCCATGGCCCGATCTTCATGATATATCAAATATATATGCTATAATAGAACAAAATAAAAATTTCACTTACTAATAAACCATTCGATTGTCATGTATTATTCGAATCTAAATAATCACAACCTGATGCATAGATGCGAATTGCATAATCTGATGTAAAATGAAATCGTTCATGTGTAATCAGTGAACTTATAATAGATTGGTTGGAACAAAAATATTCTATTTCAGTTAAATTTAGTTCTCGTAAACTGTAGATTATGGATTGATGACCTATTGTATGTTTCAGGGCTGGACGAGTCAAAAAACTTTTTGGTTTGCCATTCTTCTCTGTTGATTTTTACTAAGAAGACCCATGAGAAACTTTCATTACACAGTATCTAATTACAAGTTCATAGGAACAAAAACCAATAAAAGAAAAGCCACCTATAAAATAAAAAGATACAATTAATCTTGACTAACTAGAAAATAGTAGCAAGATCAACTGTACGGTAAAGAAAAAAGTGTCATTTTTTATAAACAAAAGGTTACATCTAAACCTGTTGACAAGCAAAATTTATTCAGAGATGCGCCAAACGAAATAAAATGAGCGTCCTAACATATGCGCCGCGAGGTTTTGCATACTCCCCCTCAGAATAAAGTGGTAATATTCAGATTTTACAACAAAACTCCTACAGCAATTTTGCTATAGAAAGTCACTACTTTTGAAAAGTGAGGTCTAGACCCTCTGCCTCCCATCCACTCCCCATCATGGGCATAGCCCTGAATTTATTTATTAGAAATTACTGTCGTATTGCACCTCAACGATGTTAAAAGACAAATATTAGCGCCTGTAAAACTTGGATGATTCGATTTCTGGGTGTGGGTGTGAGTGTGGATCGAAGATAACATTCAGACCCACACCCCAACATATCCTGAAAATGTCATGTCAATCCAATGTTCATAAGTCGAGATTGATTTTTGAGCGATCTAAAGGCTTATATTCGATTAAAGTTTTTCAAAACTTCTCAAGACACATATTTATAAAAATAAAAAAATGTTTTTATAAAATTGAAATTAAATTATTTTCGAGAAAATTCATCAACTACGTAAAGAGTTCAAGAATTCGTTAATAATGGCAGATTTTTTTTTTCTTATTTTGTCCGAGAAACTCAATTTCATCGATAACTTAAAGTCTATTCATCGGTAAGATTTTCAAATTACGAAATTTTTAGTTTATTATGAACATTTTTAAAATTATTATTTCGACAGTCATTCTAAAGGTATTTTTAAATTAAATTAAAATTTAAAGAAAAACAAATCTTCGAAAGTCTTTTTGAAGTATTATTGTTATATCATAAGTAATAGACTTTCCAATAAGTGGATGGATAAATTCTTTTCATCGTTTATCTCAATGGTTAAATCAAAAAAACATTTGGAATAAGTTCTATATATTAGAATATTCAATATAAAAATTAATACAAGTCACATAGCATATATCTTGTCATATTCTATTTATTATTTATATAATTAACAAATTAGAACAAACGAACAAAACTTAATAAACATATATTTATTCGATTATTATTTTAAATCAAAGTCAATTTAATAATGAAGAAATAAAAATGATAATATCATTTTACAAATCATTTTTTGTAAAGATTTTCTTCGACTTTATTTAGAAGTATTTCATTATAATAATAATTGAAGATAGTTGAATGTTGTAATGATATACATGTATTTCATAATTTCGATGCTCCTGTTAATATACCAATAAATTTCCATTGATTTCTATTTGATGATAAAAAACAAGGACCACCACTGAAACCATAAGTTGATGGAGTATCTATAAACAACTTTCGACTATCAATTAATCGTAATTGTCCAGTACAATTCATGAATTTATTAGATAAAAAAAAAGTTCTGGTGTTTTACCATGAATTGCAGGAATACTTATTAAAGGTGATGAGGAAAAAAATGGATCTGTTATAAGATCAAATGAGTCGGGTGGTCTATTAACAAATCCTATTACATTTATAAATGAACCAGATGATATTGATTGACTATTGTTTAATGCTACTTGACATACTTCAATATAATTGAACGTATTTGTTTCAATATTTGAACATTTTATAATGACTAAATAGAAAAAAAAAGAATTCATTTCTGAAATTTTCAATATTATTTGTAATAGAAATTGAAAGTGAAGTTTTACATATTAGAATTATTGAAAAACTTTAATAGAAAATAATTAAATAAGAAATTTCTAAAAGTTAAATATTAAATTGAAACATAGAATTTCGAAAGAGCAAACAAAAATCTATCTATTTTAAACAACTCTACAATTAACATGTTTATTTAGTTTTTATTATTGATTCATATGAATTTATTAAAAGTATTTTTATTTTGAATTACTCTTAACTATAACTAATTATTTTATAGAAATTATTTTTTTTTTAAATATATATTAGGTCACTTCCATGGGAAGACCATAAAAACACAAAGATCTCAAAAAATGTTTTGAGGTAGCAGAGCTTGTAGAGCTTTTTGTGCTGATCATTTTGATAAAAAAAATTTTTCTTTTCATCAAAAAATAACGGCGCTAGGGTCAAAAGGTTGGCAGTAGAAATGTCGAAAGGAAAAATGTCGAAAAAGTGAAGGGTAAAAATGTCGAAAGGAAAAACATCGAAAGGGAAAAATGTCGGAAAGAATATACATTAAGGAAATGACTCATTATTCTTGTTAGAAAATTTTGAAATAGAAGAAACGATCTGTATTTTTTATGCTAACACTAACATATGTTAACAGAAAAAATGTATGGATGAAAAATTTAAAAAATCATCTTTTTTTTCAAGAAGACATTCACGAACTTGAATATCTACTTTTTCTGAAGGAGGACTATGATCATCAATTGTTTTAAGTAATTTATCATTCAAATCTGTATGAATATTAGAAGAGCAACCATTACATGTACACTTCCACTATTTAGTTGTAGTAGTTGTTCTGTTCAGTTTCAAAATATATTCATTTGCTAATAATATAGTTTTTCCTTTTTGTGATTTAATAAATGATATGGTCAGTTTTGGTTGAGTTCCGTCATTTGAAAATAGCGTATTTGTTGCCATACTATTATCTTGTTAGTTATTTATTTACTTTCTATATAGTTGTTTATATAATCTCTATCACTTATTAATCATCATTACTACTGGTGGCGAAAAATCTGGACTAGTAGAATTATAAGAAAAGAAAACATGCATTGTTCGAATTTAGAGTTGCTAATTATGGGAGACATCGTTGTTTCTTTCGTTTTTCATGTTTACATCTTTTTGTGTTAGAATTCATTTTTCGACATTTTCCCCCTTCGATATTTTTCCTTTCGACATTTTTCCCTTTCGATATTTTTCCTTTCGACATTTTAACCCAATTTTTTTTTCTTTCGACATTTTTCCTTTCGACATTTCTACTACACACCGGTCAAAATACTGAAACATGAAAAAGTCGCATCGGTTACATGTTTTTTGTAGTAGGGTGTGGGTGTGGGTGAGTGTGCAAGTGTTGTCTCTAATCACACCCACACCCACACCACACCCACCCCATACCCACACCCCACATCCACACCCACACTCACGCCCACACCCACCCACACCCACCCACACCCACCCCACCCACACCCACACCCACACCCACACCCTTTCAGCAGTTTATCTCCGTTTTGCTACAAAATGATGTCGAAAGACTGATTTTAAAATAGAGGCATTTGGGCTAGAGATAACAATATGTACTCCAAATAAGAAAGGATTTCATTCTACCAAGTAATTGCACTTTTTTCTAGAATATTCTGTGAAGTCGATATTTCATTGGCATCTCTTATAGATGCCCTTGAATTTCATCCAAATCGAACTGAACATCTTATGTCCAACGTTGTTTTTTTTTATATAAATAAAAGAGTTGGTGTGAAGAGATCATTTATTTGAAAATAAAAACAGAATGATTAATTCAAAGTAACGGCCCTTCCTCTGTTATAGATGATGGCAGAAAACTATCAGTTATTTTTTTCTGCTATCCAATGTTCAAGTAATACTACTTCCATTACAGAGGCTGTATATCCAACGAATAACCATGTGATACATTTTAAATTGCATGTAAAGTAATAATCAAGTATTGTAGGATAGTTGTAAGGAGAAGCAGACCTTGAAAGGTCAACGATGGATGCGATGAGTGGTCGAAACTTGAATATATATATATATTTTTCTCATTATGTTCGAATTTTGAATCCTCGTAAGCATTTTCCCATTACACATTTATTTTCGACTCCTCAGACATATTTTGGCCGCTCAAACACCATCGAAATATCGACTACTCGAAGAAAGGAGACCTGTCGACAAGATCATGTCGATTATTCGATATGATTCCAATCAGTCGGAGCCCATCGAGCTATCGAGTAGTCGGAAACATAGTCTCATCATGCATTCATTTTTGCCTCTTTGGACTCGTTTCAACAACTCGAAGTCTATCAAAATTTCGACTATTCAAAGACAGGAAATCTATCGGAAAGATATTTTCGATTACTCGATATGATTTCGATTAGCGGAAGCTAATCGAAATATCGAGTGCTTGATGTGTCATACCTATCGAAAAGCATAATCTCTATTGTTCTTTTTAACTTTGATTCCTAAAAGCAACTAGAACAAAGATAGAAATATGTTTACAGTCCTAAGAAAAAAACCAATCATAATGAATTTAGTTTGATAACATCTCAAATGTCCTGAGCTCTTGAATAACTCTGCTTTTCGTTTATTCATCGACAAAAAAAGTTCATGAAATTATTTAAAACTATCAGTTTAGTTTTTAATCCTTCAAGTTGTTGAGATAGTTGAAGATTATAAACATAATAGAGATAGATAAGTCGAGTTTGTCTAATCTTAGTTTCAACATTTTTTATTATTTTTTTCTTACATAACCTAATTTCCTGTAATTAATTTATGTTTTATTTTTTTTTTATTTATCATCCATAATAGCAATATATATACCACGAGTTGCTTTTAAAGAAAAACTAATTAAAATTATATTTCAAGAAAATAGAAAAAAAGATACAGAAGTTAAACATACTTCATTGTAACACTTAAATTTATTTCAAATTAAAACGTTATGTTTAGTTCATTTGATCTATGCAAGCAATGCAATTGCAAGTACATATGTTCAAACCTTCACTTCTGCAAAGATATCCGATAGGTATCGGGTGCTACGCTCGAAGCTCTGCTAATTTGACCCCTCGGAACTCAACGCGGATGGGTGAGGCTAGAGCATCAAAATTGCAAACCAACCCTACGGAGTACCATTTTCCGATAGGTTGAGGAGTCATCGATGGATAACAAAATTACAATTTTGCCAATCCATTGGAAAGCTCAGATCGACATCTCGAAATACCCATCGAATAGCAGCTTGGGTTTTACTATGTAATCATAAAAGATAATATTTTTCGTATGCAGTCAATAAACAGAAAATATTAATAATACTGTTTCTGATAGAAACCGGGTCTACGAAAGATGCGCACGACAAAACTTGCGCACGAGCGTGCGGATGGGGTTTTGGAAATAAAACGGACTCATTCAACCTCACTCTCACCCTCACCTGTCCTCGCACTCGCTATCATCCACACCTGTACCCTCACTCCGCACGCTCGTGCGCATCTTTCGGGATCCCTTTCTTTTTTCTATATATTTATTCATTACTTGGAAATTATATCTTTTGTCAATAATGAAATATATATGTAATCAGTTTATGATATCATTTGATGAAAAAGTCAAATGCTTACTTTTTTTTTCTTTTGTATGCGTATTGACAATGAAAATGCCACCTGTTGTTTTTACCAACAGTATTTTTTCCATCATATTCGATCAATGTATTCTTTGAATATAGAAGACGGTTAATGAAATATTTTTTAGATGTATCTCGGCTGGATTGATTATGGAGTGTTAGTTATTCTTTTGGGTATATTCACACATCAGACTTTCTATCTAATTGATATTGATATTTATTCTATAGGTTTATCAGCAATTATTGGCATCTATCATGGTTGTATTCGGTCAAAACAATTATCTACTAAGGAATTTCTTATTGCTGATGGACAAATGAAAGTAAAGAGTGTAGTACTATGAGTACAAATATTCCATTTATGGAAATCTTATAGGTATTACCTACTGCAATGAGTTTCTTAGCTAGTGTACTGTCCGCAGCAACTTTACTTGGAGGTCCAGTTGAAACTTATGCATATGGGACAATGTATCTTTATTGGAGTGAGTGAGTTCTTTTAGATGTATAATCTTATAATAAATCCGATGTTCTACAGTTTTCGCTGCGCTTATTGGTACTTACTTTACAGTAACTTTATTTATTCCAATGTTTCATCAAATAGGAAATTATAGTGTATATGCTGTATGTTTAAGATATTTCTTTCGACGATTTTTGAGTATCAAATATTTGTATTATAGTATCTTGAGCAACGTTTTTCATTAACAGTTCGAATTGTTGTAACGATTATTTTTATTTTAAACAATGTAAGTTGTAGAGAAAGAAACAATTTTTTTGCATCATATTTTTCTATCTAGACGATTTATATAGCTGTTATTCTCTATGGACCAAGTTTAGCATTAAGTCAAGTAACTGGATTAGATATATGGTTCGCAATTGGTTCATGTGGAATTATTTGTACACTTTATACAAGTGTTGTAAGTATTTATCTGATATTAATATATAAAAATGAAAGAATTTTCTAGGGTGGAATGAAAGCAGTTATATGGACTGATGTTGTACAAACAATAGTGATGTTTCTTGGACTAATTTTATCAATTATATTCGGTAGATTCTATCGATAATCTTTATTTTTTTTTTTTGTATGATATAATTAGGATTTATTGATGTTGGTGGAGTGAAAAAGGTATTTGAAATTGCAATAGATGGTAATCGAATACAATTAGCGAAGTATGTAGATAAAACTGAACAAGAGATTATTTGTTTTGTTGATTTGACAGTATGACATTTAACTTATCAATACGATACACTGTTTGGAGTACTCTTATTGGAGGTGGTTTGTATACGACAGCTGCATTTTCATGTCTTCAAACTCAAGCACAACGATATATGTGTGTAAAAAGTACACGAGATGCACAAAAGTATGTTTTTAAGATATCAATCTGTTTTATCTTGATTTGAATTGCAGAGTCGCTTGGATAAATATTATTTTAATGGCAATAATATATTTATTTTGTGGATGTATTGGATGTATTCTCTATGCTAAATATAATCAATGTGATCCTCTTCAAGCTAAACTTATTTCTAAACCAGATCAAGTGAGAAAATAATTATTTATTTGATTGAAATTTATTTCAATGACAATATTGTTTGTAGTTATATCCTTTATTTGTTATTGAAACATTAGGACGATTTCCTGGTTTAACAGGATTATTTATTGCTACAATATTAAGTGCATCATTAAGTACAATTTCAAGTGGAATTAATAGTATAGTAACTGTTATTCTTGAAGATATATACAAACGACTAGTAGTTGAACATTCAATGTCTGATAAAAGACAAGCAATCATTTCAAAGATTTTATGTCAGTTTGTATATTGTAAAATG